CAAAACCAACTGAAAATAAAATAAAGTCATTTGGAAAAAGACACACTGAGATGTATGAGCTGAACGAATCTGATAAAGAAAACTCTGATGTTGTAAGCCTCTCATACATTGAACTGCATGCCCTTAAAGAGAAAGATCGTGAAATCATCTGGGTAAGTCCAATCATTGAAGGAGTAAAACTGAAAATGGAGCTTGATACAGGATCAGCACAATAATATCTTACAAGGATTACAAAGACCATTTTGAAAAATTCAACATAAAGCACACATCTGTAATACTCAAGACATATATAGGAGAGAAAATCTCACCCATGGGAAAACTGAAGGTGAGAGTAAAATGTGAAAAATAAAAGCGAGTCTTAAATCTTTATGTGCTGAAAAAGGGGGAGTACCCTTATTTGGACGAGAATGGCTGAGGAGCATTCGGCTTAATTGGCAGTCCTTAAAAGCCATACATGTTACCCCGGAAGCAACACTTGAGCAAGACAAACTAGAGGAGGTACTAGTGAAACATGCACAAGTTTTCCAAGATGGAATTGGAACTCTGAAACACATTAAAGCAAGGCTCAAGGTTGAAAGTGATGTGCAACCAAAATTTTACAAGGCACGCCCTTTACCATATTTAGTACGCCCAAAAGTGGAGGCGGAGCTAAAGCGACTAGAAGACCAAGTTATCCTGTCTAATGGCCCGTTTCCACTGAGTGGTACGATACGGTGCGGTTTGGTACGCTTTTATGGCCGTTTCCACTGTTAAAAGCCGTACCGAACCAAACCGTACCGTACCACTTTTTCGGGACCCTTTCGAAAGGGTCCCAAACTGCAGAAAGGATCCCAAAAGGTGGAGCTACACGCGCAGCTGAATGCTATTGGTTTACAGAGATATGTCATTCGTAGACTCAACAAGCCAGAATGTAAACAAAGGACCCGCCATGTTTGAAACATACAGCGAGAAATTACAGCAGAATTATAAATACATATGCAGCCAAGGTCGATCCTGCAAACAAACCCTGTCGTCGTCATGATAAACAGCTACAAAGCCATGGAGAAGAGCAGATTCACCCTGTGCGGCGTAGTTTTTAACGAGCCAGTCTGAAGCCCGAGTGGTATTGCTTTCTTTCTTGCGCTCGCCGCGCGTCTATATCTAAAATAACAAACTTCTTGATCTGATAATAATAACATGCACTTGATTATTGACAAGCTTTGGAAACCCGATCCTGTGAGAAGCTGACAAACGCGAGTGACACATTCAGAAAGAAAAGGACAAAAGCGAGAGTGGAGCGCGGAAAAAAAGGCGAAGCCAATGAGCACATTATTTCTTCAGCAAACGTGAACAAACTGCCTTGTTTTAATCTTTATTATCACCTTTTGGACTAATATGAACTGGGAATGATGGAATGACTCTCTAACAGAGGCTTCATGTGCTGCTGAAGATTACAGACACAGATGAGAGGTTTTCACTGACTGTAGGCTATACTTTGTGTTGTTTTGAACCTAATTAACGACGAAATGTCTGCTTTGTGTAGTTCTTCTGTAGTTGGTAACATATCGGAGATTGTAAAGGTCTGTATGTGTTCATATATGTTCATTTATTTATTTAATATAATTATAGACGTTACAGTAGGCTATTTCGCACCGTCATTGATCTGCAGTTATAATCAACTCCTGTTTATAGAAAAGTTATAGAAAAGTTAGTAATAAACATTTATACACAAGTATTTATGTGTGTAAAGCATCTGTTTTGTGAGAAGTGCTTTTCATATGATATGTGAACGACCTGTGCAGCATTACTGTAGACATTTTCTCAAGCGAAAATGACGTCGACTAAAACTTTGTCATACACCACGCCCACCAAAAGGGTACCCTTGGTAGTGAAAACGCAAGCCTGATAAAGGTGACCCGTACAGACCCGAACCGTACCGTACCAGTCAGTGGAAACGAGCCATAAGGTAAACTGGACTGACTGGGCTATACCTATAGTTCCAATTGTTAAGAAGAGTGATGATGTAAGAATTTGCGGCAACTTCAAAGTCACAATTAATCCAGTCTTACAGGCACACCAGTACCCATTGCCTCTCATTGATGACATCTTTGCATCACTGTCAGGTGGGCAGCATTTTTCAAAAATCGATCTTGCCCAGATGTATTTGTAGATGGAAATGGAAGAATCTTCTAAAAAGTACCTGACAATAAACACGCATAAAAGTCTCTTTCGCTACAACAGACTTGTATTTGGAGTCTTGTCAGCACCAGCTGAGTGGCAAAGAGCCATGGATCAAGTCTTGCAGGGTGTTGCTGGCTCACAGTGCTTTTTAGATGACTTATATTCACGGGCCATGAAAATAAAACCCATCTGGCAAACTTGAATGCTGTTCTGGAAATACTGGCTGAGTATGGTCTGAATCCAAATAGGTGCAAATGTGAATTTTTCAAAGATTCAATTGAGTACTGTGGACACCAGATTGACAAGGCAGGCCTTCACAAGTCTCCAGACAAAATAGTGCTGTACTTAATGCACCAAGAGCAGAAAACGTCAACCAATTCATTCGTTTATCTTTGCGTCAAAAGACAAGTAAAAGGGTGTGGTCAAAGGACTGTGAGATAGGATAGATACTGTGTTAACACGTGTTGCATGTGACGCTTCACCATACGGCATAGATGCAGTTTTGTCTCACAAAATGACTGATGGATCTGAGCAGCCAATTGCATTCGCAACTAGATCCTTGACAGTGTCAGAAGGCAAATATGCACAGATTGATCGAGAAGGCTTAACCTTAGTATGGGGAGTGAAGAAGTTTAATCAATATTTGTTTGTTAAACACTTTACTCTGATTACAGATCATCAGCCGTTAGTGGCCATTTTCAGCCCAAGCAAATGCGTTCCAGTAATGGCTGCAGCACGCCTACAACAATGGCATTGTTTTTAGATGGTCATGACAATTCGATTGAGTTCAAGGGCACCAAGCACCATGGAAATCCTCAGGAGAATGCAGATGATGTTACAGATGAAACTGACATGTTTCGCATTGTTCAAATGGAACCTTTACCAGTCACGTGAGCACCAAGGGCTCAAATTCAAAATGAGACTTGTCGATACCCGGTACTGTGCAAGGTGTTTGAGCTGACCATGAAAGGATGCACAGCTAAAGGGGATCCTCAACTATTGGACTACTCAAATTGTTGTGAACAGCTTTCTGTAACACAAGGATGTGTCATGTGGGGTACTCGAATGATAGTGCCACATAAGCTACAAGCCAAAGTACTCACTGCCTTACATGAAGGACATTTAGGTGTTGTTAAAATGAAAACCCTGGCCAGGAGCTATGTTTGGTGGCCAGGGCTAGATCGCCAATTTTAAGATCTTGCTAAGGCATGCTCTGGATGCCAGCAAATTCAGCGACAGCCAAAGGCACCTTGTCTTCATTACTGTTATGTAAATGTACAAACATAACAGGGTGCCACTCCTGTCAGCTAAGAACAGGGAACCGAGGCTACAGTTTGCACTGGCTCACCAAAATTAGACAAAACATTTGGAAAATGTTGCCTGCATTCTCATTCAGATATTCGGATGGTAGGGTCAGAATTTGGCGTCAACAACATGAAAGCATATATCCATCCTGCCCTGTATCAACGGTTCAGGCTGATGGTGGTGGTGTAATGGTGTGGGGAATATTTTCTTGGCACGCTTTAGGCCCATTAGTACCAATTGATCATCGTATCAATACCACAGCCTACCTGAGGGTTGTTGCTGGCCATGTCCATCACTTTATGTTCATAGACCCATCTTTTGATGGCTACTTCCAGCAGGATAACGCGCCATTTCATAAAGTGCGAATCATCTCAGACTGGATCTTGAAAATGATAATGAGTTCACTGTACTCAACTTTGGCTGTTTTGAATGGTCAAGTGTAACACACTATGTTATTAGACTGACAGGTTAACCAATCAATCATGCTTCGTTTTGTGAAATTTGTGAACGTGTCCTCAGAATAACAGCTCATCACAAAACTTAAAAGTTTACAACAATGATGCATACACAAAGAAAATCAGCAGGAAATGTAGGTAGACTTTTCTGAGATTCTTTTTTTTAATGCATTTAAACATAAACATCACGCAGACTGAGATGACATTTTGTTGTATTTATGAGTATGCACAAAAAAAAAAAAAAACTCTTACTGTTTTAAAACAATGTTTAGGTTAAAGCTTTTATGCAGTGAATATTTTATACATTTAATAATCCAGCATTTAACTAAAACTATTAAATGCTCATTGTCACAAAGTTATCCACAATATAATACACAGGTGGGCATGCAGTAAATCATGAATATCTCTGAAAGTAATATGTTTATTAATAAGCACTGTCATCAGTATAACAGTCACAGCTTTTTACCTGAATTGTTTCCTGGCAGGCTGATTAAGATTGTTGCACACCCCCAGAAATCCTTTATATTCATTTTATATCAGTGCATGACTGGGGATCTGCGAAAATGTTTCCAGAAAATGTGGGCCATATGCATCAGACGTTTAGCCAAATGTTTGTGGGCGGTGCTTGGCGTGATGTCTGAGGCTGAGACAAATTAAGTAGTGATTTTACTGGTGAAAACGTTTTATTTATTTATTTATTTTTTATTTATTTTACTAGATGGTGCCAGCAACCAGCATTCTTCAAACTACCTTCTTTTGTGTCCAACAGAAGAAACTCATAAAGGTTAAAACCACATGAGGAAGAGTAAATGATTTTACTATTTTTCATTTTTGGGTGAACTATCCCTTTAAGACCGCGCACCAAAATGTAAATAATCACGATTTCATTTTGCACCATAATATGTGTACCAATAATATTTAAATACAGGAATCTATTGACATTTTACATAAGCTATATTACATTTCAAAATAATTTTTCCTCATGTTTTCTCCACAGTTTATGAACCCTGATTTTTTTTTTCACTAAGCAGTAAACTTTGTCGATGATTATTTGTTTTATATATTTGCCATAATCTCTGACATCAGCCTTCACAGCGGCGCGCATCAGGGAGCGCGCTCGAGCTCAGAGAATCAGAGCCCAGACGTTTCTTCAGTGATCCAATTCTTCACTCGGCTCCTTCTCAGTGGATTAATAAACGGTAAGAAACTTGCTCTTACACTTATACTGCTGCATAGCAGAACATGTTACATTGTCTTTGTTTGCTCTTTTGACGAAAACATTTTAAAGCTATGTGATTGGTTTGTTTCCGTTCGTTTTGTTTGTGTGAACGGGGTTTTATCGGTTATTATAGCAAGAGGATAACTTTGCCTGTTTTAAACCCAGTCTTGCTTTTAAATAGCATTTCTCACTTGTATTATGTTCAAATGGCAAAATGACGATTGTCGTCTATAGGATGGAATGGATAACATTTTTCTTTCTTAAACTTCACCATTAAGATCATTTCACGTTTGCCAAATGCAGGATACTCCCTTTACACACTCGCCATCTCTTCTTGTTCTCCAACCGTCTTTAAATGTTGTAAGTTTTATTTAATTTAAGTAGAATTAAAATGTCCAAATGTATTTTGACAGTTTATTATTATTTTTTATTTTGTGTCAATTCCGAGTTTTAAAGCATGCAATACAGATTTCATTGAGATTCTTTCTCTTTCTCAATACATCAGTACTACACCACTGGTAGATTATATCATTAGTGAGTCTTATTTATCAATAAAAAACTAACTGTAATAACAATTTGCCCAATTATATGGCAAATTATGATAGAATTAAAAACAATGCATTTTACTGAAAATAAGTGAAAGTTGGTGTGTTGTAATAAATATATAACAATGATAAATTGTATTGTAATTGCATTTAATGTCATGTATAGCAACAAAATTATTCTCTTGGATCTCAAACTCGATTAAAAATTAAAGTAGAACTAAAAGGAAAAGTTGGTAATTGTGTGTTCTACTTGCAAAGCCAAACTTCTGAAAAAATAATGTTTTTTTTCTTTTTTTTTATGTTTTTTAGGATGATACAAATATTGTTATTGCCATGCATTGGTATCAAAACATTAAGTGTGCTATGTTGAATAAATGTCAAAGTCATCAATAGGCGTGATTGAGTGACCTTCTGTTTACTCTGGCCAAAGGGTGATTGTTACAAGAGAACAGATGTTCCAAATGTAGACTATCCCTAAAACACTTCCAATCACTACATCTATTAAGACCCCAAAGTAGGTCAATAAAGACTTTTGTGTGATTTGTTTAGCCTCGATCTCCTGCTGGCTTACTGGGGATCATTCTTTGTTGGACACTGGAGACAGCTGGCCTGTTGCTTAAACAAGTGGGACACTATCCTTCTCTCTCTCACTTCTACAGAAATCGCTTTTACTCAGCAGACACTTTTCAGTGTAGTCTAGTTTTGTGGTTTTATCATATGGCATGATTCTTCGTGTTCTATTTCTTTTGTTATACTCATGCCTTACAATATGCCTATGAAGACAACACTCCTGCTGGAGTTTGTGTGTGTGTGTGTTTGTGCTTCTGTGTTTTTGGGACAGGATGAAGGAGGTTTCCCTGCTGTGAGGATGAGGAGCATTCTGCTAGGATGCTCTGAAAGAAGATAATGGCAGTCGCATAAGGAACAATTTGTGTTGTTAGCCGTCATATTGGAAGTAGAGTCTCTGTCGTTTCCTCAGCTCTCTTGGCACCAAAAGGATGCTCCTTATGGCAGTTTTAACACTTAGCCTGTTGTTACATGCTTTATGGGATTGACACTTTAAGAGTGGCTAAAACAAAAAATATGAGTTGTGAAATTGATGAATCTTTTTCTTACGGAAAAGCCCTTAATTCTGTAGATGGGTTTTCCCCCTTTTGATGCATACTTTTATTTGATTTTTGCAATGTTTGGATTGAAATCCTAAACCATTCTCAGATTATCACATATATACAGCTGAAGTCAGAATTATTAGCCCCCTTCAAATTTTTTTCTTCTTTTTTAAATATTTCCCAAATGACTTTTAACCGAGCAAGGAAATTTTCACAGTATGTCTGATAATATTTTATCTTCTGGATCTTCTGTTCATCTTATTAACCTAGTTAAGCCTTTAAATGTCACTTTAAGCTGTATAGAAGTGTCTTGAAAATTATCTAGTAAAATATTATTTACTGTTATAAAATATAACCATTATTAGAAATGAGTTTTTAAAACTATTATGTTTAGAAATTTGCTGAATAAATCTTCTCTCCATTAAACAGAATATATATATATATATATATATATATATATATATATATATATATATATATATATATATATATATATATATATATATATAATATATTTTTTTATTTATAAATTTTTTTTTCTGGGTTTCTGCTTAGTAGCAAATGGAACAAATCCTTCTTTATACTCAAAACCAATATATATATATATATATATATATATATATATATATATATATATATATATATATATATATATATATATATATATATATATATATATATATATATATTTATTTATATATTATGGTAGTTAAACAAATAAAAAGAAAATAATATTTTAGTTTTTATAAGGATCTCAGTTTCAATCCATTTTTAAATATATATATATATTTTTTTTTCAGAAAGATGAGTTTCCACCTTTTCTTTAGACAGCACAGATCTGCTTGATTTGACTGTCACCTGCTATTTTAGTGGACCTAAAAGCAGGAATTATCTCACTGAAAAGGGCTTATAAAGGAATAATGTAACGGGGCTCTATTACATTTAACATTTTCTTAAAACCCAAAATTTCCTCTACCGATTAAGATCTCTCATATGCACAGCAATAAATGTAAAGTTCGTCTCTGTGTTGTCCTGTTCGAATCTGTAGGTATTGCCTGTCTGAATGCTGTTCCAGTTACTGATTCCGGAATGTCAGTGTAAATGAGTTAATATGCTCAAATGTTACCACTAAAATAGCATACTGTCATAGCAGATGTTTTTTCCACCATTCTCTTGATGGCGGTGATGGTGCGTGTTGTATCTGAAGAGCGGTGGAGGCATGTGTGTGCGATGTACTTAAGGGGGGGGGGGGGGGGGGCTGAAGAGCTGGGAGGGATGCGGTGGAGAGGGGTGCGCGATGTATTTAAGGACCGGGGGGTAACTGCATTAGTTCCGGAAGATTATTATTCATTTGCAGGCATTCAGGAGTCTCCCGAAACTTCCGGGAGATTTAGGACGTCTAGGATTACATTAACATTACTAGCCATTTTGCGAGCTAGTCTAGCGTGTGCCTGACTAGAGTAGTGTTTGGAGGCGGGCAGGTGTGGTGATATGTGAACAGGTTATTGAGCTTGGTTGTTTTGTGTCGAGGTCCAGGGTTGCTGTGGCAACGGGGGCGGAGCCAGCATGAGCAGGCTAACACAGAAGGCATCAAGATTGCTAATGAGTGCATGCTTTAATAAATTGATATTCTGAGTTCAAAAGCGATGGTCTACTGTTTAACATGACAGCGGGGAAGGCAGCATGTTGTCTGACACGTCATTAGGGATGCCATGTTGAGCGTTGTTGCACTAAAAACATTATATTTTGTACTTATTTTCTTTTATCTTTTTAGATGTTAGTCTGAATTGAATAGTTTGGTTTGTAATGCGTACCGAACCGAAAGTCTCGTACCGAACGATTTAATGCGAATATGCATATCCTTACACCCTTACCTCATACACCAGTTTGCACCCATATTGACCATTGCTTGCCTGACTACCAAATAAACCTGCAGGCGGATCCTCACCTTAGTTGTCTGTGTCACTCCACATGTTACAGAAGACTCAGCCAAACATGGATCCAGCAAGTATTGCAATCATGCATCTTCGTCAGAAAGCCCGGTCTATAGAAGAATATGTGGAGGAATTCATTGGACTGGCACATCTAACTTCCATGAGTGAGTTGTGTTTAATGATTTTCTTTTGTGGAGGACTTTCAGAGCCCCTTTATTCTACTATGCCTTTGTACAAACCCCACGGGACTTAAGAAGTTTACATCGATCTTGCACTGCAATTGAGTGGGTCCCCCTTCACGGTGGGTGAGGAGGAGGAGACCCCTAAATGTTTTTTTTGTGTGGGGCAATAAACAGGAGGACCCGCTGGTCCTTCAGCTCACAAGATGGCCGCCTTTAGTCTGCCCGATCACACGATGGCCACCTCCTGTCTACCAGTTTACAAAATGGCTGCCTCCAGTTCTCCAGCTCACAAAGTGGCCAAAACCAGCCCTCCAGCTCACATAATGGTAAGCACCAATCCGCTACCTGCTCACAAGATGGCTTCCTGTTCCAAGTCTGTTCCTGCCATAGTTCCTGTTACAGTTCCTGAAATGCCATCACCTGAGCCACCAGAATGGCCACCACCACCTTCCAGAGCTGCCACCTCCAGAGCTGTCAGATCCTCAGTCACTGCCAGAGCTGCCACCGCCACCTCCAGAGCTGCCAAATCCGCCAGAGCTGCTAGATCTTCAGTCACTGCCAGAGCTACCAGTTCCTCCAGAGCTGTCAGATCCTCAGTCACTGCCAGAGCTGCCAGATCCTCCAGAGCTTCCTGAATAACAGTCGCCTGAACTTCCTGAATGGCCACCAACTGAGCTTCCTGAATGGCCGCCGCCTGAGCTTCCCGAATGGCTGCCGCTACCTCAGTTTCACGAATGGCTGCCAGAGCCATATGATTTCCCAAAGCCGTGTGATTTTTCCCAGAGCCGTGTGACCTCCTAGAGCCTCCTGACCCACTGGGATTTACAGAACCGCCAGTGCATCTTTAACCTGAGCCTCCTGACTCACTGGGGTTTAAAGAACTGCCAGTGCTTTCTAAGCCTCCCGACCCACTGGAGTTTGATGAACGGCCAGTGTCTCTTGAACCATTGCCTCCTGAACCAAAGCCTTCCGACCCACTGTGAGTGTTTGACCCATCTTTGTCTGCTAAACCGCTCCACCTACCGCCTAAACAATACTTATGGACTACTAATCCGCCTTTATTGGACTACATTTTCATACATGCTCTTCGCTCACATACACACACATGCTTCCTCATTCTGACTGATTTCACTCGCACCACCTGAGGATTGTCAAAAACCCCTTTCTATATATATAGCACTGTAAAAATGCTTGATTTTTAACCAAGATT